AAGACCTGCAAGCTCTCTGGACATTCACTGGTATAAACTGCATTGAAAGACTGAAAAAAAAAAACAGAGGCTGATAGCTGCAGGTGATGGCAGCCAAAGATACACCTCTCGAGCAGACTGGAGCTTTTCAAAGAGTTGTACCCACTTCCTTCATCATTTCCTTTTATTCTACCCGGCCACAAGGCTACTGGTTAGTGCCATCAGCAGTGAGGGTGGGTCTCCTTCTCGGTTTGCAGGCCTACATGCCAAGAACCCTCTGAAACATTCCCAGACATTCCCAGAACTGTGCTTTACTAACCTGCTAGGTGTTTCCTAATCAATTTGATGTATCATAATTGACTGTCACACAAACCTTAATGTCTTGTACAGATATATTCACCTTGAAGGTTTCACTGATACTTTTAACCATTCAGCTTGTATACAACTGTCTATATCTTTAGCCTGATGTGAAATATTTAATTCCTCTTTTCCTTTCCCCACCATGAGCACATTATGTCCTTGTTTCCCAAGTTAAATGTAGACATTCTGTATTGGAGGAAAAATCAAACTCCTGGAAACTAAATGGCAATATTCCTGCAAATAAAGGGTCCTCACCTTATTGTTTCAGGTTTAGGCCATCTATGACCCTTGTGGAGCAGGGCAGGTGAGGAGACCCCACAGGCAGAGATCTCCAAATGAAGCACCTAATGTATTGCTTGTCCTTTAAAACAATGGAACAATGTACTCAAAATTTACTTACAATGAGACATTTTGCATTTTTTAGGTCAAGAAAGGCACTAGAAATTTAATTTAGGTAAATAATCAGAAGGCATGACAGGCAGTGTGCTAATCCTGTGTAGTGGGCAGGTGAAACTGGTGGGGTTGTGAGGGTACAAGCTTTCCCTATCATTAGCATCTTCATCAGTCTTACAATAGACCCAAATTTTCCAAAGCCTAGAAACAACTCAAATGCCCACCAATGGTAGAAATTAATGTATAAATTATTGCATTTCTTTCATGAGAATATGAATGAAGTTGAATGAAAGAAAGTGAAAATGAATCTGGCAAAACCACACATAAGAGAAAGAATAAATCATAGAATGTAGAATGACAAGACAGACAGACAGACACATACACACACATACTCCTAAAGTATTTTATTCTATTTACCGTGCATAAAGTTCAAAAGTAGGCAAAATTAATCTGTAGTGTGAGAAGTAGGGAGAGTAGCACTTACTGAGAAAGTTAAGCAGAAATCAGGAGGCCAGAGTTGGGTTTCCAGAAGTCTATTTAGTGCTGTTTCTTAATCTGCATGGTTTAATGTGTACATTCACTTGGTGATAAATTACTGAAGAATAGTTATGATCTATGTATACTTATACTGTATGTGTGAGAGTCTTTAAGGAAATACTTGCACTATACCTGCTTGCCCATCAAGGATTTAGATTTGTTATAGCTGAAAAGAGCCTCAGAATCCCTGCCTGGCACATGAAGTCCATTTCTAGGATTAGAAAAGCCATGAAGAACAATGGCATATAAGGCAAGAAAGGACAGAGACTGTGATATGCAGACATCACCTGGTACCAACTCTTGGGAACAAGTCCCACAAAATGGGAGAGCCAAGACTGCTGGCATTAAAGATTGATTAGCCCAGGCACTGGGTGGGCCAGCACATGCAGATGAAGCCTAACCTCATGGGTTGACACTGTTAGATCAGATCTGTCATTATTAGCTCTCACAAGGCCACACTGCTTCCTTTATGGCATGCCCTCTGTAATGTGGCTAGTGGACCTGACCCAGGCCATGGGACCCTGGCCATGACTTTCCATCTAGGGAGAGTGGTTGTAGTTTCTCAAAAAGGCCTTCTTCCAGGATGTGGACTGCTGGACCTCATTCTTCACTGTTGGAAGTAACTTGACTGAATGGAACAAAATAATGAAGGGAGGCTTTGGAAAAAGCCAGTTTAAACAGGATTCAGTATTGATACAGAGCCACTCAAGGAAGAGTGGGGTGCTCTTACCCTATTACATGAGAAGGAATTCTTGAATAAAATAATAGGAAGGAACATAAAGACAAGTGATTTATTGTCTCAGGATTTAGAAAAGAAGAAACAAAGTCATATAGTCATGGGCAAGTTGTGAAGGCTTCACACTTGTGAACCTGTCTTCACATTTAAGTTGAGCGTTTTTAAACCACAGTCATACCCAAAGAGCTAGCAAGAAGCTAGGCCTCAGCTGATTGATTGTCCTTGGACTGGGTATAAAAGGCTGATATTTTACTAACTAAACTCCAAATATCTGGAGAAAATCACAGCTATAACATCATTAAAAACAGGTTGTAAACCCCCAAAAGATGTTCCAGTCCAAGTTGAATTGGTGAATAAGGAGGGCCATGTCCATTTTTGATCAAGCCATTGCAATGAGGAATGGGTGTAAAGAGACAAAAGGCAAGTTTACACTCATCCTAGTGTCTGCCTGCCATAAAAACTGGTCAGCAAATCAGCTGGAGATGCATTTATGCATTTATGGAGATGCATGCAGTATCTGATGAGAGTTAACATTCAGTGTAGCTTCCTGAGGGAAGAGCAGTTCCCATTATCTTCATCTCTGAAGGTTTAGTTACCCAGTAGTGTTTCCTTTGCTGGCAACTGAGATACAGAATAAGTTGGGAAATCATCGTGGAAATACAACTGCAATATGCCTACGAGACGTCTAACTAACTCCCTGGCATAGAGGTTTTAGGAATCAGGAAGTATGTGGTAGTGATCTATCCCAGATAGGTCTCGAGAAATCTAAAAGGGAAGTTGTTTCTTTTTATTACATAAAATGCTTCCTAAATGATTATTATAGGAAAAGTTCTAATTAGCAGAGTTGCTCCAATCTTGCCCCAACATCTAAAACAGTATAAGCAAATAACCTAAATCTACTGCCGGTATTCACCCTAGTCCCCATCTCAGCATTTCTTGTTCAAAATATATAGAGCCGTGCTCTGGTAGAGCTGTCAGGGCTACAACTGATCTCACTTGAAAGGTGTTATTTATGGCATGCTGATCTCAAGCATTTTGATGCAATGCCCAAAAGGTTATAAAGCAATAATATAGAGAGTACTCAGTTCATGGGCGGAATCTCATTTCCAAGCCAGTCTGAGATCACCAACTGTCAGGACAAAGAGCTCTTTCTGGATTATATGTACCTAAGGAAGCTGGATTCAAAAGTTAGACAACTTTTGAGACATTCAAGCAAAAGTAAAGTGGTAGCTGAGATAATCTCTCAGCCCTGGTTTTTTCTGTTCCTGCCAGGATTCCATTCCCACTCAAGGATTACAGTGTTGCTCACCTCAGGTTAGTTCCTTCTGTCTCCTCTGCCTCTCCAACACAGAGATGGGAAAATAATTTCAACCTCCATCACAGACTTTCCACAAATTGAGAATGTTAATCCGATGCTCTTAGATTTACAAGAACGCGGTACTCTCTTCCATGAGTGTGTGGTTGACAATCTGCCACACCTTGTATGTGCTTTCGTTTCCTCATCTGTTAAAATTGGATGCTGGTGGCCTGTACTTACTCATGGGGCTACTTTGAAGACAAATGAAATTCAAATGATTTAAGGTACTTAGTTCAATGTCTCTCCCATAGCAGGTGCTCCAGAAGTAGTGGGAATGATTTAAAACCCACTAGGAGTCATTGACCACGTAAATTAGAGGACACTGAGGGGCTCTAGAGATCATGTGGTTTAGAATGTGCATGCTGGGAGGGCATTTGGAAGGAATCTTGGAGAGGCAAATGAAAGGTCCCCTAAAGAACACACAAGGCTACTTCACAGGACCCGTTAATGAACAAGATTCATTATCAAACCAAGAGCTTCAGTATAAAGAAACCTCTCTTGTCACTAGGATTTCTATTTCTGCGTATGTCTTACAAAAAGCAGTGGTAGGTTCAGGAAACCTTCAAAGATTGTCTGTTAAGTGATACACAGGGGAAGATGGAGAAGCACCCACCATCTCTGGAAAGATGAGCAAAAATTTGATCTTGTTAGGGGCTCATTAAACCACACTCAGGCATTTCAAATGTCCTAAGATGGAGATCTTTGCCCCTGGCTAGCTTCCCTTGATTTACAAAAATAAAATTACAAAAAGGGGAAATTAAAGACATGTGTTTCTGAGACTTTACACTTATTTAACCAAATCTATTGTTTTCTGAGATTGTTTGAAGTCCAATAAAACTAATGAGCCTTTTAAAAATATCTTTTAAACTCCTTTTTTTCTTAGGACATTTAGAGGCTTTCAAAGTTTTGTCCCAAGGGTAAAAATAATAAATTAATAATAAATTTCTCAAAACTCTCAACCCCTGAAGGTTCAAATTATACTTAATGCTCCAGACCCAAGGGATATAAATTATTACTATAGTCTATTATCTCTTTTTATGAGGTTTTACAAAAAGGAAAAAGAAACTACATGGAAGGTCATTAGAGTCCCTTGTGGGATTTGCTTTATAACCATGTCCAAAACCCAGACTTCTGGAACTTTCTCAGCCAAACCTCCAGAGGAAGTCCTTCCCACCTCCCAGCTTGGCTGTATCAACTGGCTAGAGGGAGTCTCATTGAGAATATTGACTTTTGAGGCTGGATTATTTTTGGCTGGTGAATCAGAGCACTCCTAGAAGGGTTCTCTTGTAGTGTATACAATCTATGTCACATAAAATGGGTGATGTATTATTAAATCCCTATAGGATGAAAAGAGAGCAATTTTTTTCAGGAGTGTGCAAAGGAACCAACCCACAGCGCCCCTTGAACTCTGTACATTGTCATCTGATGACCTCTGGTGGTGGAATTTTTCCCAGCTTGGGTGAATCAATGCTGAGCCAAACCACCCCATGCTACATTTTCCTACATTCCCTTCCTCTTATTTTGTCATTCACGTTACGCAAGGAGCAAGAATCAGTTGCAGGCACCCAAGACAAAGTGATACATGTGCCTCACCAGGCTGTCATTTCACAAAAGTTACTTGGTGCCCTTCTCTTTCAGGGATTCTCTGATATACTTCCTATAGCAAGAAAAAGAAGCCAACATGCAGGAAAATGTGACACGTGCAGTGGTTTTCACCCTGCTACTTTGTCTCAACATCAGACTTCTGAATGGTGAGTAAAAGATGTCCCGTTCACTTTTGTTGCCTGGAATTTTACCCAGAGTGAAAAGGTCATCGAAGCCTTGCAGTGCAGTTATGAAAAATTATAATGTTGTTGTCGTGTGTTTCTTTTAAATTATTTGCATACTTTTAAAGAAGGAACTAAGATAGATCATGTACAGATACAAGTCCCCTATGATAAATGTGATCATTATTTATTTCTAAATTGTACCAATAAATTCATTTTTAAAAATTAATTCAGACATGAGCTGGGGATATAGCTCAGCAGCATAAGTGCCTGCCTAGCAAGCACAAGGTCTGGAGTTCGATTCCTGGTACAAAAAAAAAAAAAATAGTGCAAACAACTAGTGCAAAATCTTGTCCTTGGCGTTCTGCTTTCAGTTCTCATTTTGAGATTGGAATGAGTCAGCTCTGAGAATGATAGCACCTGAGTTCCAGTCCAGGTTCTGTCAATTTCTAGCTGTGTAATCTCAATCCAATTGCCTACTCTCTCTGGGTTCTCTAATTTTCAAAGTTAGCATGGTGAAAAATCTTTAATAACCACAAAAGGATGTAAAAGATTGCTGTTACGTGGTGGGAATTTGGTATGCCCAGCACTGTTATTTGTGCTAATAGAAGAAATAAAATCCACAGCTAAATTAGAAAGTGTGTGTCTATGTACTATTTCTGTGTATCTAGCCCTTGCATTTCTAGACGTGACTATTTCTATATGTACATGTGTGTACATTGACTCTTTATGATGCTTGATTACAAATGTTTCTCTGTGTGTGCCTGTGTAGGTGTATACTCGTGTGTGGATATATGCTTGCGTGTCTTACTATTTTCATGTGTGCATATCATATGTAAATGTATGTAAGCAATGTGTACTGCTATAAGTATATCTCATGTATATTTGTGTGTATTACGTGTTTATGCATTGTTATAGTGCATGTGTGTACATTCACATGGGATCTACATACCTGTATTGCAGTGCCTGTGTAATTTTCTTTATGTGTCTGTATATTGAGACAATCAATTAAGTTTACGTATTTTGTCTAAAGTTCATGAAGGGAACAACTGAATAATTTTAATTCCACAAATTTACCCTCTTCTTTTGAGTTCCCTAAAAGAACTATTAATGATCAAGAAAATGTGAAAGACAAGCTTCTAGACAGAGAGAGAAAAAGAGAGAGGTGAGAGTAATCCATAAGACAAATTCTAAGTACTCAAATGAGCAACAGTCATCCAGATCGGCTTCCAGTATGCTCATTACTGGACCGTCAATATTAAGGTTTTATAAACAAACTTTTCTTTCTATGTTACATGCTCCCTGAATAGAAACAAATAAAAGAAACCTTCATTTTTTCCATGACTCCAGAAAACATTGTCTTGCAAGAATCTTCCTGGAAGATAAGTAATACTGCAAATATTGCTAGAGCCAAAGCTGTTCTAGACTGACACAGACAGTTCTCAGGGAGGCCTGTAAGCCATAATGTAGCTCATTTCCAACAGACGTGACCAGCCTGGTGCCCTGGACTCCACATCATGTCATCCTATTGAATTCTTGTTTGTGATAAGATTGCCTGGAGACCCCTTTTCCCATCCGTGTCTACTCCTGAAGCCCTGGTACTTTATTAGAAGTTCTGGCCTAAGATCTGTATGTGGATGAGGAACAAGGGCAGAAGAAAACAGAAAGGATGCCCTGAGCTTCCAGTGCCAACCTGAGAGCTCTTGTGTCTCTTCCTGACTTCTGGACTAAACACTGGAACCTCAAGCTGGGCAAGAAGGAAAAAGCAGGTAGAGTTACACAGTCAGTTACCCTTGGTCTCCCCAGCCCAGCAGTATTTGGGCAAATGCCCACAAATATTCTTCCTTTCTCTGAACCTAATGGCCAAGAAAGCCAGCTTTCCTAGAGCTCTGAGGATTAGTCCTAAAAATCTTATCCTGGTGGCATTATATTTTCACATCAGCTCATGCAGATATTACAGTCTGGGAGCAGATACTTCTCTTATATAACCATAGTGGTTATACCTCAGGAGGAACAGTCATCTGTCCTCCCTCTTACCATGTCTCTTCTCCAAAAAGATGCATAGAATTAAAAAAATCCCTTTGACACTTCACCACAAAAAAAAATCTGAGAAAAACAAGGAGAAAATATGAGGGAAACAAAGAAATTACAAACCAAGATTCAGAAATGGTAACAAGGAGGAAGAGGAGGTAAGCAGTGAGACGAGGTCATCAGGTCAAAGCTGAGTGAAATCAAGGGAAAGGGAAGGAAAGGCAGAGACGAGGAAGGGGGAAAGGAAGCATTTGAGAGTCACCCAGACAAAGGGAGCAACAGTGATACAATAAACAAAGATCGAGACAGAGTAGAACTGGCAATGTAAGAATGGCAGAAAAATGGAATTTGGGAAAGCAGATATATCAGAGAAAAATGTGTTGGCAAAGCATGCACAGGTTGCTTGTACCTGGTGAAGAACTCTTTGTATGGTTATCTTCACATTGAGGGTAGGTATCAGCCTTCTAGACTATGGAATTCTTCAATCCCCACATATCCATCTTGTTCCAAGGTTCACTCTTCATTGAATTTCAGTTAATTATTAGTTCTCACATAAGCTATTGGTATCTCCATCTCAAAATGCAAACATACCACCACCACCACCACTCTCTATCACTATCTCTATCTCTGTCTCTGTCTCTGTCTCTGTCTCTGCCTCTGTTTCTAGCCCTATCTCTCCCTCTCCCTTTCTCCTACCAACACCTGTGTACCTCAGAGAGAAGAGTTACCAGAAGCTGGCACTTGGCCTTTCTGACCACAGTAATCCTAGATCTACTCACTCCAAAGCCTCACTCATCAATGGCCTGGATGCTGTCAGTTTGTGTATATTAGCAGTAGAACACTCAAATTGTGGAATAGACCTCAACGCTGACTCCAATGTCTGTGGCTTTTCTTTTTTAGGAGAGTCACCTCCCGGAAAACCTGTCATCTTTAAATGTAGTTCTCCTGAAAAAGAAACATTCACATGCTGGTGGAAGCCAGGAGCCAACGGAGGACTTCCCACCAACTATACACTGACTTACTACAAGGAAGGGTAAAACATTTCTCTCCTACCATACTCACAAGAGTGTCTACACACTCCTGGCCAAAGTAGTATTAGTTCTGTTTTAATGACCATACTCCCCTGGATTTACACCAGTCAGACTCATATCACCGGAGACAGAGAATCTAATTGTCTGCCCACCTTGCCCCATTGAGGTTCTTTACAATCTCTCTCAATCCACATAAGCCCATCAGCCACAGAAGCAATACAAAATCTGTAATGTTATAAATCACCTCTTCCAAGCTTAGGTTGCAATCCAACATCCCATACAAGTATTTTCTAAGTCCTAATTAATCCTAAATGCTTATCTATTACCTTGTGTCATTTATAATTTCTTGGTAAACAAGTTACTTTTGCGATACAAGATAATTGTGTAAATAAATACCATAAATCTTTGACAAATGTAGTACAATAGATTTTCAAATTCATTTCATGTCCAAGAAAATAAAGAACGCATATCAAAAACGTGATGAAGAATTTTCCTTATAAACTGCTGATTTGGAATCAGGGTCTTCTGGGGGGGGTGAATTTGGATGTAATGTTGTCACGAGGACTAAAGATCATCTCTGGATGATAGTATTACTAAACTCACAAGGAGACCCTCCTGTAAATCTTGGAGAAGCTGTATCTTACACCAAAAAAGAAAAGGTGTATTTGTAGTGGAAAGAGCTGGTCCACTTTGTGATGACTACATTCAGTTGTACAAAAAGCTGTCCTGCAATCTGGAACACAAAAGAGTATCATGCAAACAGATTTCAGGATCTCCAACTGTTAACCAAAATTAGATAAGCCTCTGTACCTTTGTGGTATATCTGGAATTGAGGTTCCTAAGTCAAAATGTAAGAACTCTAATGAGCTACTTCAGACTGAACTAGCTGCTTTCAAAGTCACTTTACTCTGTTGCTGACTTAATACTACTTGAAGTTTATTGATATTAGTTTGGTTCTTCTGAATCCTCTTTTGCAAATCTAATTCAATATGTATGTACAAAAAATGCTGCCCAGTGAGAAAGTCCTGGTTACAATACCTTGGTTATGTAAATGCCTTGGCCATTGACAGTGCAAAGATTTATTGGCAGGAAACATGTATCACAAAGCTCACAAAAATATTAGTAGAAAGGAAGGATCGATGAAAGACAGAGAAATCGAGACTCCAAAACATTTTTTAACCCTGTTCTCTCCCTTTTTGCTGTGGGAAGAGAACAGGGATCTATTCTTCTGCTCTGGTGTTTGTATGTTGAATATCTGGTGGTGTTGATCTATAAAGAAATAAAAATGAGCCTGGTTATTATTTTTATTTACTCCTAATATTTTACTGTCTTCCAGAGAGGATACCATCTATGAATGTCCAGACTACAACACCAGTGGTCCCAACTCCTGTTATTTTAGTAAAAAGTTCACCAGTCTGTGGTCAGTGTATATCATAAGAGTATACGCTACTAACAAGATGGGAATCAGTGCCTCGGATGAACGTTTGGTAGATGTGGCTTACATAGGTAAGAGGAAAAGCAGTGAGTGGAGGGTTTGTTATTCCATGACTTCTAACCGAATTCAGTTTGAATCTTCTTGGCTTATGGGTGGGTTCCCTGAAACAGAGGTGAGACTATTCACATCTTGTCCACTAGTATTTCTAATTAATTTTTGCCGTTGTGTTATTCATGGCAGTTAAGTTTGGCACTGAAGACCTTTGTGTTCTTTTCTTTTCCCTTGACCCTAATTTCCATCCTACTGTATCCAGCATAAATGTTCTATGTGTGTTTCCTGCCCTCACACTGCACTCTCGTCTTCCCCGGCAAACTTGAGATTTCTTTCCATTTTCCTTTTGGAATATAGAGCTATTTCATGAAGTAGCAGCTCTTAGGAGAAGTTTATCTGGTTCTGCTTCTACAGAAATTGCTTTACCCCAAATTCGTGTCTTAGGAACAACCTAAATTATTATTTTACAAATAAAATGTTGGGAAACAAATAGTGTTACTTGGGCACCAGGCTGAAGACCAAAATTATAGATACAATGTTTAGTGAAGGTGTTAGCCAAATAGAACAAACTCAGCCTGAGAGATGTTCCTGGCTTTGCATAATCAACAGTAAGCTGCAGGCAATTGGGCATAGCTACAGTGGCTTCTGTAATTAGGGAGGAGATAAAATGAATCTTAGGACAAGAGATGGCTTGTCCAGGACTGTGTTCATTCTTGTCTTGGGTAATAATCTGTGAAGCTAACTAGTTTCAAGGTCATTCAAGTCTTTCTGATTTACCTAATTCCACCCAATAAGGAAAATCAGGCTGGGATCCTCCAGTATCCATTTCTATATCATCCTCCTGGCAAGAGTGGTTGATTATAAACCAGAAAAGTTTCTACTACCCTGGTTCAGACTTAAATATTTTATCTTCCAGCAAATCACTAGAATGAGCAGCAGGTTAAAAATTGAATTTGAACTTATTTCAAGAAAAACAAAAAAGCAATTCCACTGACAAGTAAGAATAAAATAAATTTTGACTGTATAAATTCACTTGAAATGAGATGTCTTTAAGATGATAAGCCATTTTTGTAGGCTCTTTCTTGAATTTTCTTGCCCTCGAATGTAATATTTGAGCATGAAACAATGAAAACAAGGAAGGTTCTGAGATGAGTGACTGTTATAATGAATTTGGTCCACAAAATTAGAGGCTCATTAAAGAAAATGAGAATGCTTTAAAAAATGAAATTGAGATGTGTGTATAGAGTCAATAAGCTTTGATTCTAGAAATCAAATTCCCTGCTATGTTGCACTGGAATATGTGTTAGATCACATTTTTGAAAATAATAAAAGAAGTGTTCCTAAAATATTCTAAACCCTGTATCATACATCATTGGCAAATAAATGCACAAAAATTGATTCCTTTGTCATTGTTATTGTTGAGTAATATTTAGCTAAGGTAAGAACTCTAAAATGGTGTGAGGCTATTTTGGGGCTGCTGGGGGCTATTTTGCCTCCCACAAGATTTTTAGCAGTGTCTGGAAATGGTTTTGAATGTTGAAACTTAAAGAAGATAGGAATATTACTTACTTCTGATAGTTAGAATCCAGAGATACTACCTAGCATCCTATCATGTGTCGGATAGTCCCTTCACAACAAAGGACTGTCCAGTGCAAAATGTCAGTATTTCTGAGGTCTAGAAATTTTGCCATATGGATTCATTCTGGACACCTTGGACTTTTGTACATGAATTTTTTTTTTATTAAAGGTATTGCTGACTATCTGTATAACTTAAAATATTAAAATGTCTATTATATATATATACATACATACATATAAATATATATATACACATATATATACATACATACATATAAATATATATATACACATATATATACATACATACATATAAATATATATATACACATATATATAACCAGGAATTGAACTTACAACCTCCTGCTTGCCAGGCACGCACTGTGCCACTGAGCTATCTCCAGCCCCAAATGTTTGCTTCGTGTGTATAAAATAATCTTTTGTTTTTACTCAGTAACATATAAGCACTGAGATTCATGTGAATTTTTTTCAAGTTCATTTTTGAGACAAACAATTCACAATTCCAAAGACACGATAATTATACAGTCTTTCCCCACCTGGCATAAGACCGTTGGGGAAGGTAATAAATGAATGGAGAAAACGTTACTAACTGCAAGGGCAAGACCAGGATGAGCCACGTAAGCACTGCAAGCACCTCACCATAGGGAGGTGTTCCCAGGGCCCGCACTTACAGGAATCTGAGTCATGCCTCCTTTGTTGTTTTAAATTGTTGTAAAATACACATAACAAAACCACTATTTTAAAGTGTGTGATTTGGTGGGTTTAGTTCGTTTATAATGTTTCACAACCATTATCTACTTCTAGCTTCCAGTGGAAGGAAATAACTTATTTAAAATTATTTCCCTATAAATCTACAATTTAAATGGAAACTTCATACCCACTAAACAATTACTACCTATTTCTTCCTCTCCCAGCTGCTAGTGATGTTAGTCTGTTTTCTGTTTCCAGAACATTGCCTAACCTGGATATTCCATGTATATGGGATCATACAATATGTGGCTGTAGACACATTTGTTTATCCATTTGTCAATTGGAAGACATTGAATTATTCCACCTTTTGTTTATTGTGAACAGTGTTGCCATGGGAATTTATATACAGTTTTTACTTTGAACATTTTTTCAGTTTTTGGAATATATATAGAAAGAGAACCTATATAGAGTATATATATTAGAACCTAATATATATTACATTAGAACCAATGCACAATATGGCATTTCTGTTTAAATTTTAAAGGAAATTTCGAGTTGTTTCTCATAGCAACCACACCTATTTACAGTCCCATTAGCAAGGTATGAGAGTTCCAGTTTCTCCATATCTTTACCAACACATGTTATTATTCACCTTTTTAAATTCTAGCCTTCCTAATGGGTATAGAATGGTAGTTAACTGTGGTCTTGATTTATATTTCCTAAAAGATTTATGGCATCTTTTAATAAGCTTTTGGCCATTTTGGCCTCAAATTTGGTAATCTCTGCACCTCTCTTTCCTCAGTTTAATTCCAAGGAGAGCAGCCTATAGATCATATTGTTCCACAAGGTCAAATATAAATTTTAGCAAATACAAAATCTTAGATGACTAATTTTACCTCCTCTAACCTGATTTCTTCTCTCTATAATGGGTATATTAGTAGGATGGTAGGGTGTTGTTGGAGGAATTAAATGATGCAGGGATGGTGGTTTATGTAGGTCATATGTAGTGAGCACTCATCTTACTGTTAGGAATTCTGTAAATATCTGTAGAGTGAGTGAATGGACCAAGAGGCTACTAAGAGGTCCATAAAGGGATCATCACCAAAAAAGCTCAACCTCAAGGTACATTTTAATAATATGTCTGGAAGAGCAGATAATATTTAACATTCAGAGTATTATAAACATTAAATGTGAAATGTAATTGATGAACCAAAGATGTATCTGACTTTATTTGGTAGAAGTGAAGAATACACCAAGAATGAAACCTCAGCTGCGCACATTACGGTTACCATACAAACTTTAGCCTAAAATGCAAATATGAGAGAAAAAGCTCTTGTCTTCCAGTAGCTCACAATGCAATAGAAAAGTGGGCTAATAAATAAAAAATGCAATTCATGATAGGAAAAGCTGGGGCCAAATAAAGAGTGCAACCAATGAATGCAACTGGAATTTCTCTTATATCTATAGTTGAGCCAAATCCTCCTAAGAATGTGACTTTGGAAATACAACAGCCAGAAGACGGAAAACCATATCTATGGATAAAATGGGTCCCACCTACCTTAGCTGACACAGCATCTGGCTGGCTTTTACTACAGTATGAAGTTCGATTAAAACATGAGAAAGCAGTTGAGTGGGAGGTGAGTCAAACAGAAGTCTTTTGAATAAACCATGTCTTTTAGCAAGATTGAATCCCACAACTGAGAACACTTATCCAATTAGTAGACCACCATATATCTCCTTATGCAGACAAAATCCATCCAGATATAGAAAGGCCTTCTCGCCTCTACTGGAATTGGAAAGGGTTCATCTTTTGCTCTCCCAGAGATAGTCCTTTGCACTATAAAACTTGCTTCTCCTTGTTTCCCACCTTCCTTCCTAAGTATATCTTAGATTCTGACACCCATGAAAGCACATAAATTACATTGAGGGAAGAAATGGGCATATCCCAGTGTGTTCTACCTATGGTCAATGGCTGTGTTTGTAAAGAAATACTTTAAGGTACTTCAATATAAAGAAATAATACAGTATATTACAGGAAGTATGATATTCTATCTCTAAATATGTGTCTTCTAGAGGAGACATTTCCAAACATAACCAAAATAATAGAACCATGCATAAAAAGATTTATTTATATTCATTTAACAACATGAAATATCCAGTCCACATTTATCCTCCACCATGTGTTTCAAAAATAACTTTCACATCTGCTCTGTCGAACTAGAATCCACTTCAGGACCACAGGTAGTCTTTGGTCACCATATCCTTTTGGTTTTAATGCACTCAGAGGGCTAAGTCACTTAATCAATAGAATAAGCCACCTTTTCCATTGTCAGATTTGTTCTCCGTGGTTTCATTGGCTGATTTCTCTACCTCTGCATTTCCTGAAACCAGACATTAGTTCTTGATTAGATTCTGTTTGAACAATTTTTGCTGTATGTGCTTCAGAGGTGATATGTCCTTCATAATGCATCATATCACAACATGTGTCTGGTTAAACCATAAATGATGCATCACATAGATTTAACACCAGTTAATAATCTTTCAATCAGTTACTTCCTTGGAACTTAGAATATTTTTTTCAATTTTATTATCCCTTCTATATTTATAATGTTAATTACTTATAATATTATCTTATCTTGCATGAAGTAGAATTGACAGTGTGTGGAATATTTGTGAGGGTTTTTTGAAATATGGTTCTAAATGGAAGAATAGAAACCAGTTGAATTTTTTCACGAGAAAATGTTATTTTTTTAAGTTTTCATTGAAAGAAAGAAAGAAAAGAACATTAAAACAGCAAAGTAGAAAAAAGTAGAATACAGAATTCAAAAAAATTAACAAATCGCTAGTTGGCACATTACATATTGTTGTCTTAACAATAGTTGTTAAAGTTACAAAATCAAAGCATAAAAAGTGGCTCGACAAACATTGACAGTACAATCTCTTCTGTTCAATGATCTAATAAATTTAGTAATATGGTCATCTATCGTAAACACTACGCATACTGTTATATCCTTCAGCACACTTTCCTTCCTTTTCACTTTTACAATATCTGTTATACTTTTTGAATCCCATTATTCTGTTAGTTATTATTATTTTTTACACTAGAAAGACAATGTGATATTTACTAGTGAAGGTCTTGTTTATTTCACTAATAAGGATATTCTCAAGTTGCCTCCATTTACCTATAAAGGCCTCAAGATCATCCTTTTTATAGCTGAATAGTATTCTATTGTATAAAAATACATTTTTTTCATTCACTCTGTGGTTGATGGACATTTTGGTTGTTTACAATATTTAGCTATTGCAAATTATGCTGCTATGAACATGGGTGAACATATATCACTGTGACATAACCTTTTTAATTTTTCTGGGAAAATACCCAGGAGGGGAATAGCTGGATTGAATGGAACTTCCAATCCTAGTTTTTTGAGGAATCTCCATACTGATTTCCACAGTGGTTGTACCAGTCTGCACTCCCACCAACAGTGGAAAATATTTCTTTTTCTGTGCATCCTCACCAACATTTGTTGTCAGTTGTTTTCTTGATGGCAGCTATTCTTTCCAGGTTGAGATGAAATCCCAGTGCTGTTTTAATTTGCATTTCTCGAATGACCAGTGATGATGAACACTTCTTCATATTTATTTGCCATTTATATATCTTCATCTGAGAACTGTGTGTTCACCTCCAATGCCCATTTTTGGAAAGGGTCTTTGAATTTGAGGGCTTGATGTTTTTCAGTTCTTTATATGTTCTGAATATAAGTCCTTTGTCTGAGGGATTATTGGCTAAAATTCTTTCCCATTCTGTGTATTTTCTTTTCTTTTGAGGTGCAAAAACTTTTTAGTAATATGAGATCCCAGTTGTTGATTCTTTGAAGTATTTCCCATGTGGTTTGCATTTTACTCATGACTACTCTCTCTACCCTTATGTCTCCAAGAATTTTACCTACCTTGTCCTCCAGCAGATTTAGTGTTTCTGTTTTAATATTTAGATCCTTAATCCATTTTGACTTTAGTGTACGGTGATAGGCATGGGTCTATTTTCAGTCTTCGACATGTGGAGAGCCAATTTTTCCAATACCATTTATTACAGAGGCTATCTTTTTTCCAGTAAACATGTTTAGCTCCTTTGTCAAATATAATGTAGCTGAGTGTCTTTGTAGTACTGTTTGCATCTTCCAATCCATTCCATTGATCCTCAGGCCTATTTCTTTCCCAGTACCATGCTAATTTTATTACTGTGGCTTTGTAGTATAGTTTCAAGTCAGGAATTGAGATGTCTCCTGTCTTGTCTTTGGTGCCCATAATAGCCTTTGCTATTCTAGGTTTGTTCTGTTTCCAGAGGAATTTTAGGAATATTTTGTCTAGATCTGCAAGGTATGTTAATGGTATTTTGATGGGGATTGAATTGAATCTATATTACAGTTTGGAGAGTATGGCCATTTTCACAATGTTAGTTCTTCCGAACCAAAAGCAAGGAATGTCCTTCCATTTTCTAGTATCCTCTTAAATATCTTTTTTAGAGTAGTATAATTTTCAGCATTCAGGTCTTTTACATTCTTGGTTAGGTTGATTCATAGGTATTTAATTTTTTTAGACGCTATTGTGAAAGGTGATATTTTCATAATTTCTCTCTCAATGAGTTTTTTGTTTGTCTACAGGAATGTTATTGATTTTTGAGTGTTGGCTTTGTATCCAGCTATGCTGCTGAATTTGTTTATTACCTCTAGTAGTCTTTTAATGGAGTTTTTGGGGTCCTCTATGTACAGTATCATGTCATCTGCAAATAATGATAATTTAACTTCTCTTTTTCTTATTTTTATTCCTTTTATTTCTCCCTCTTGTCTGATTTCTCTTGCTAATATTTCCAGAACTATATTTAATAGGAGTGGTGATAGTGGACATCCTTGTCTTATTCCTGATTTTAGAGTGAAGGCTTTCAGTTTTTGTCCATTTAGTGTAATGTTGGCTGTTGGTATGTATGGCTTTTATGAGATTGAGGCACATACCATCTATTCCAAGTTTCTGTAGGGCTTTTATCATGAAAAGGTGTTGGACTTTATCAAAGACTTTTTCGGCATCTATTAAGATGATCATGTGATTCTTATCTTTGGCTCTGTTGATGTGGTGTATTACATTTATTGATTTGCGTATGTTGAACCATCCCTGCATTCCTCGAATAATCCCACTATACACCATGAGATGTATAGTCTTCTTGATGATTTGCTGTATTCTATTTGCTAGTATTTTATTGAGAATCTTTGCATCAATGTTCATTAGTGAGATTGGTCTATAGTTCTCCTTTTTGGTTGGGTCTTTCCATGAGAAAATTTTAAAACAAAAAAAAAATAGAACTGAAAAAGAAGAACAGAATAATGAAAGCATGCTGTTTTCTAAGTATGGTTTTCCACCCTAATGCCTTCCATAAGTTATTATTTAGGGGAAATTTTCCTTCTTCATGACAAAATTCAAAAGCAACTTTCTCCTTGTTGTTCCTCAGATATATTTTGCAGGGCAGCAGACAAATTTTAAGGTTCTCAGCTTCTACCCAGGATACAAATACCTTGTCCATGTTCGTTGTAAGCCAGATCATGGATTGTGGAGTAAGTGGAGCGAAGAGCACTCCATTGAAATTCCTAGTGGTACGTAAGTGTCCTGATTACCTTTTGCTTGTACTCCTAGATATTTTAAATGGTAAATTTGCATGCCTGTAATCCCAGCACTCAGAGGGTTGAAATAGAAGGATTACTGCAAGATCAAAACCAGCCTGGACTACAAAGTGAGCTCAAGGCCAGCCTGAACTACATAGCAGAAACTTGTCTCAAAAGACCAAAAAAAAAATGTTTTTTGCATGTAATTACTACTAATAGAGAAACCATTTTCAACATTAGCCAGAAAGATAAGCACAGATAGATTTATAATCTCTTTACCAAACACACAGATATTTGGAAGAGTTTACATCACTCCCTGGCTTCCTGGGTCACTGTCACTGAGGTTCTGTTTTTAGCATAATCTGTAGGCATGGCTCAGGGGATTTAAGGATTAGTCATTCTGTCCTCCCCATCTGTCTCATCCCCATCATTTAGAGGATCCAGTCAAGACCACCATGTAATTCTCCCAGAATTTATAAGGTATCAACTCAGAAGTGAGAACTGTTTAGTCTCTGAAAAGAGTTTTATGTTAGTCTCTTAACCAAGGCACAGTATATGATTTTCAGTGCTAACAAAATGCCATAAATATGTGTTCTTGTATTCTGTACCAGAGCAAGTCATCTTGTATTTCTAAAGTAGCTTACAGTTTACAGTGTCTTTATCTTGCTCAGTATCTCCAACTCTCTCATGTATTAAAGCAAATGTAATTGCCACTAGGAATTAAAAGTAAGGAAACTGAAACTCAGTGAAGTTAGGAGTCTCACAGATCAACACTATGAAGTCCAGCTCTTCTGACAACTTGTCTGACTGAAGTATGAGGGGGTTCATTTGTTTGGCATTGGAAAAAGCACTGAACAACTAAGAGTCAGGACATGCATCGACTTTTACCCTGGCTTACACTAAATAAAAGCAGTGGTATTAGGAGCAGAAAGCCTGTGTTCTAATCCCAGACTGCTACTCAATAGTGACATAACCACTTATGGACTTCTTCACCTGTGAAACAAGGCAAGACATTGTAAAAGCTTAATATGATTGTTGGTATTTAGTAACAACTTGGTAAGTGTTAGCTTTTATTATCATTACTGCAATTGACCGTGGATTCCTCCCTTAAAGATCAAATAAAAGAACATGTGAAAGGATTTTAAAATGTGCAGAATATTGTAAAATATGTTCAACATGTTAAAATGTTAATAGTATTGGAAAAAATTAAACCTGTCATTACACATACACTGAAATGCTCTTTATGTGAAAAGACAGTGAACTTGTGTTCAAAGTTACATGCGGAGACTGGTTTGCTTCTAACGATGTCGTCTCTTGTGGCTGTTTGTTTTTTAGACCTCAACATGAATGACGAGACCACATGGATCTTTGTGGCCATTCTCTCTGCTGTCATCTGTTTGGTTATGGTCTGGGCAGTGGCTTTCAAAGGTTACAGGTACTTCACTATCTTTCAACCCTGGAATAATGGCAAAACAATAATATAGATTCTCCTTTCTTTTGAATAGTTTCTTCCTAATTCACAATATCTATTTCATATTTTGGGTCCTATTCGCTTATTCAGCTCAGAAGAAAAGAGAAACTATGATGGGGGAAAGGGAAAAAGAAGGAATGGAAGGGGGAAATATATATATGTTATATATGTATGCGTGTATATACAAGATAGTTAAGATAGTTATACTGCTAGTGTCTCTTAGTTCACTGAAAAGTTTGTGCTAACATTATTTGTACAATATCTCATGCCTGTACCTTGTACGCAGAGTAACTACTCTAAGGATAGCAATACATTATGTAAATGTTACTCTCCTATTATCTTGTTTTGAAATTCTGTTTGTTTCTTTTATAAGGATGCATTTTTTAATTTCATGGATTATTTATAAACTATTTTCAGAATGTCTTTTCTTGGTTTTTTAAATAAAATTTTAAAAGTAATATGGACATGATGAAAGTATGGAGATAAATGAAAATTTCATTTTAGCCATTAACTTGCAGTGTGTTAGACCATAAAAAATGTTTTATGAGTATAAAAAAAGTTAAAAAAATGACCCACTTGAAGCAGGTGCTCTTTCCATCAAGTGAAGACTCACAATTGTGAAACAGTAAAAATTTGATAAGAATAGCTAAAATTAAGAAAAGCAAATAATTCAGATAATCCACTAGCTCATAATCAGCTTTCTGAATTAGCCAGAGCAAATTTTATGTAGGTCTCTGAGATTATTATCTTCATCATTTATTGTTAGTTTCATACAACTCCGGAATTTTTCATGTAGTAACAATTATTTAAAATCAATCTTGTAAAAATTGCTACGTGAAAAGATGAGTCACTTTTCTAATCTCTCAAATGATTTTATAGAATGATGACCTGCATCCTTCCACCAGTTCCTGGGCCAAAAATAAAAGGATTTGATACTCGTCTGCTAGAGGTAAGCACCACAGGCAGAGACTGCATGTGAATCACTGCATTGTGGTCATTAACTGTACGTATGTACACACCTTGCACATTAAGCAGGCTACGCCTTCATCATTGTTCTCTAGCTTGTGCCCCTCATCAGCATGTGTGTTAGCAGAAAGAGGAGTGAGGGAGGAGGGTGTCAACTATCAGATACTAACAGTCAGAGGGTATGGAGAGAAAAAAATTTTTTTAATGCATGGTAATACTTGCTAGATTTAGGACTGCTTATTAGCGTACAGAGAACTATTTCGAACAAATAGTCAACTTAGTAATAGAGGAAATATTTTGATTCCTGTAAAACAGGGACCAACAACCACCACTTACGTCATACATTGGTAGATGCTGTCACTTGAATGTTCTTTGAATAAGGCCATAGTAATAGAATATTCTGTCAATCAGTTTCTTCAATCAGTGAAGATTGGGTCAGTCTAGTGGGAGCTGCTAAGACACGTTATACTGAGCCAAAGGAGAATCAAAAGTTAAATGTATTTTGAATGAAAAGGAAGATTAGTATATTTTTTACTTCTCTCTCAGTTGAAGTGTATGGTTTCAATTTGACCTTAACATTAATAGTGATTCGTTTTAAAAAGACAGTACCTTTATATAAAAACAAATTCCAATTGATCCAGTTACTGAGAGGTTGATAAGTAAGTCCCAGAGAATTTGATTTGTCTGTCATTCTTTTTGGTTGAAAATATCAATGTAAGAGCTGGAGTTTAGGAGTTTGGGCTCTGGCCCAATGCTGTTTCCCCACTATCTAGTCTAGCATTGATCTTTATAAAACCAGCATCAACATCTCACGAGACTAAATTAACTACAGTGTAACTCACATCTCGACCTTCTAGTCATTCAGACTTAATGATAGTACAGCTAATTTGAAGATGGAAAAAAATGTAATATTCTCCCTTTCACTAGCTCTAATCCTCAAAACTTCCCACCATTTTAAAAGTATTATTAGTATTTTACTATTATTATTATATTATTATTATTAAAGTATTGTTTTAAAGTTTGTTAGTATTATTCTCATTTTTAAAATATAAAAGATAAGATTCAGAGAGTAGTCTGTCCAAAGTCATCTGTATCTTACAAGTAATACAGCTAAGGCATAGGCACCAGCACCTTACCTAAGTCAGAGAAAGAGAAAAAACAGAAGGGGAAGAAGAAAGAGGGTGAAGAAAAGACAAAAGAAGAAGAAGAATGGGGAAGAGATGAAAATATGGAATAGGCAAAATGAGGGAACAGAAGGAGAAGAAGGAAAAAGAGGAAGAAAAGGAGGAAAATGAGAGGAAATTAAGTAGAAGGAGTAGACAAAAGAGGATAGGAAGAGAGAAAGGGGAAGAGAGAATAAACAGGAAGAGGGGGAGAGAAAGATGAAGCTGGCAGGGAAGGAACAAGATAGGAATTAACTCATCACCAATCTAAAGAGTGGTGGAAGAGGTTAGAAGACCAGCAGTGAATCCGGAACTACTCCGCCGGTGAGTGCCCAAGTGCTGGATCCTTATATGAACCCTGTGGCTTCAGATATTTCCCAAGGCCTTTTTATTTGATAGTTATTTGATGTTTATTTGATAGTATGATATGTGTGTATCCTACTTGCCCATTAAACTAAGAGTCATTATTGCTTAGAGAGAAATTAAGTTAAACTCATAAATTAAAGAAACGTATTTATGAGTAGTATGCAGAAGGTGATTATAGATGAACTTCTACATAGGTGACTGTTGTTTAGGAAATCATGTGAGGCTGCTGCCATACCCATCCTGCTCAAGTAATGAAAAGACATCACTCAGTGTGATACATGTGGTAAATCGAGTAGCTATCTCTCTTTGTGTCTGTGTTTCCATAGACAGGCAAGACTGAAGAATTCTTGACTGCCTTTGGATGCCAAGGCTTTCCCCCCACTTCTGACTGTGAGGACTTGCTGGTGGAGTTTTTAGAAGTCAATGACTCTGAGGACCAGCAGCTAATGCCATCTTTTTCAAAAAAATACCCAGGTCAAGGTGTGAAATTCCGACACCCAGATCGCGACAATGATTCCGGCCACGGAAGCTGTGACAGCCCTTCCCTTTTGTCTGAAAAGTGTGGGGGACCCTGGGCCAATCCTCGCACTTTCCATATTCCTAAAGTCATTGAGAAGTTAGAAAATCTGGAAGCAAACATTACCTGCACCTGGGACCCCCTGAACATAAGCACAGAAGGCAAAATCTTTAACTTTCATACCAACGGATCCAGATCATCCACCTGGCCTTTGCCACAGCCTAGCCAGCACAAGCCCAGGTCTCCTTACCACAGCACTGCGGAAGTATGTAAGCTGCCCATGGGTCCCAAAGCTGCACTGGCCACTGTGTTAGACAAATCAGTCAAAGATGCTTTGAAATTCTCTAAGTCCATTGAGATTGGAGGGGAAGAAAAAGCAGTCAAGAAGATGGAGGTGGAAAGCTTCCCTGCTAAGACTGAGCAAGACACAGCATGGCTGCTTCCCCAGGAAAAGACCCCCTTCATCCCTGAGAAAACCCTGGATTATGTGGAGATTCACAAGGTAAACAAAGATGGAGCACTCTCATTGACCCCAAAACAGAAAAACAGCATTGACCAGACAGAGAAGCCACAGGCTTCAGAAATTAGTAAAGAGTATGTCAAGGTGGTCAGAGTTACAGATAACAATATCCTGGTGCTAGTGCCAGATCCACGAGCTCAAAACAAGGAGGCTCCACGGTCACTTCAGCAGAATCAAGCTGAGAAAGACACGAGCTGCTTCACTGCGACACCAAGCAACTGCAGACTCCATCTGGGCGGCTCGGATTACCTGGATCCTGCAAGCCTCACGCACTCCTTTCATGGGCAGTTTGAGTAATGAAACGACTGGTGAAAATGCGGTTTTTCTTCGGGTAACACTACAGAGTTATGAAAAATGATTTGCCAGCCAATGTTCAAGAATGTGGATAGAATAACACTACTTCACTCCTTTTCATGCTCTGTGTTCCACCACTTGCCTCTTTTACAGCTGATTTCCAGAACTAATCATTTTTTCTCCATGATTTGTAGATTAACCTTTTGCTATTAGTTATAAAAATGTAAGTGTTCAATGAAATAAAAGCACATTGCTTAGTACTTTTGAGTGGCATACCAATAAGGTGTGTCCTCTGGGAGAGGCTGTCGTGGCTTGGTATGTGTCAGAAGGAGATGAAAAGACCAAAATGGTTTTGCACAGGAAGGTGACAGATGCACAGAAAATGAAAACATATTCTGAAAACCAATGGCCTAACTTTCACATTACCCTTTTATTTTACTAGGATTATCCAAATAAAACACATTTAATGAAAATGCATTCCAGAAAAACTGATAAATTGTTTATACAAATTCCTGTACCTTACTAACACATTGGTGATATGCAAGTAAAGTGACAATGCTAGTTTTTTCTCAAAATAGTTTGAATGTGTCAAGAATGGGTTTCTTCCCCTAAATTTTATTTCATTCTAAAGTCTCTAGACAGTATGGTTTTGGAAAGTAAAACTCTCTCACACAAGAGGCAAATGAAGTTCATGTACTGAACCCTTCTAGGATGTTTTCCTGCTTCATTTCAGCAGGACAGATAAATATTTTATACCCGAGTCTTAGATTAGTGAAAAAAAATTCCCAAAAGGAAATCTTTAACTAAAAAAAATCATACAGGATGCTAATAGAAATACTGCCTTACTGTATATATGGATTCTACTTTAATACAAACCCATAAGCTTAACAGTGTATTTTTGAAGACTATTTTTCTATTGCTTAGATAAAACAAAAGACTATTTTCTATTTTTCCCAGTACAACTCTTTATGTGTTCAGTGGGTACAGTACTTGCTGCTAAGTTACAATGAATATTCACAGTGCATTTACAGTCCCTGTTTGTGGAGTAAAATGCCACAGGAAATAGATGATGAAATTGTTTCCAACACAAGAGGATATATGCTTTGATTCTTTTTGTGTCCAGAGTAGTTTAAACAGCAACCACTACCACCAACCTAGGGTTTCAGGACTCTCTTCAGACCAGAGATGATTTATCCTGTGACTTTTAGGGCTATTTTAGGGCTTCAGCCTGTTAGCAAATTCATCTTCATAAAGCTACCATTTAAAAAAAAAGGAAGTATGACTTTTAACATCTATGAGGTTTTGTTTTGTTTTTCTGAGAATGCTTGGGCAGCAGCAGAATTTTAAGAAAGACCATGAGTTAGTATGTCTCTGGAATACACCTATTTGCAGACTTTGGCAGAGGTAGGTACAATACTCGTACCAGAAATATCCAAATGTCAAGGACGCCAGACTTCTGTAGAACGAGGATATCTCCAAAGCCCAAGGTATGGGAGTGAGGATCTGTGTATCAGTTCTAAGAACAGGCTCCTTGAGAAGAGTCAAAGCCTGGATCTCCATTTTAATGGCAACATCCATTGCTTATCTACTGTTTCAAAGACCTCCTTATATTTTTCATTTCACCTCTTGACAAATCCATTCTTTTTATTCACTGATTGGACTTGAGTTCACCCTGAGAGTTAAATATCCAGCTCAATATTGATAGGGACTGGACAGGATTGAAAATGAATACTTTGCCAGTGCTTTCTGACTGCAAAAGTAAAAATCTCAAACAGTACGATATATAAACATCTTGTGAGCGAAGGCAGCATAAAGTTTGCCACTCTCATTCAGTCACTATATCCTCAGTACTCAGTGTCTGAGAAGCAACTGTGCGGTGGTATCACTGGCCATTCTTTGAAATTTTTTTTGGTAAAATCTCAGGATCCAGGCTGGACTTACAAAATCAACATCTGCATTTAAGATCTGGATGATTGCTGTGTACATTGAAACCTGAGAAGCATTGTCCTAACATGACCATTTCCACCAAAGATTATTTCAGTGCATGCAAAGAGTCCTCATTTGGAAAGCACAGATCAAGTCTGTGAAACTTGCAATGAGCAATCCTGTCAGTAAGAAGACCAAGAGGAAAAAAAAAGAAATCTATTAGTGGTTTAAAATGTACATAATGATATTTTATTTATATGAATATTATAAAATTTAAATATCTATATACATGTATCTTATAATTTGAAAGTTTAAAGATAATCTGATTTTGAAATATAATTTTATATATAAAGAATATTTTCACTGGATAAAGATTCAAACTAAATCTCAAAAAATCACCAATTAATACTCATTAAATAAAACCAAGTCTGCAATTCTATCAATGTTATGATTAACTAGCACTCTCTGAGATTTTTTAATGGCCTAAAATATTTTATATTAAGAAGATAGTTGTTTATATGCAAGAATGCATACCAGGGTTCAAGAGACTTAGATTCTAGTCCTAAATATTTTACCTTGTAGAGACCAATTCCCTTCTCTTGGTCTTAGTCTCCTCTGGAAAAAAAAATATTGGAAACAATAATCTCTAAGAACTTTTTAAACTACTACTTTTCATTTCCATGACTCATTAAATATTTCCCTACAAAGATAATTTGAACCAATGCCTGTACCATAATTAAGCTGCCACATAATTGAGTTAATTGCTCACTATGGAAATACAAAGTAATCATCAATGATATGTTCACCATACTTTACATTTTAAATCATCAACTCCAGTTGATCTTAACCTATTTCATGCATATTTTATAAGTTATATAGACATGGAATCACATTCTAAGACTGTGTGCAAATACACATATAGAGATGAGAGGCCCAAAAGAAATGGCCCAAGACATACGGGAAGATTCAGTGACTGTGGAACTGATCTTTAATGAAGCCAATCTTGTTCATTCTTCACATATTCGAGCAGCCTCAAAACTTTTTTTTTTTAACATCTGACTATTTATCACAGTTTATGAATAACCATTTCCCAAGTGGCTTAAGGAGTTTTATGCTCTGACTTATGAAGTCATACTTTTATAAACAAAGACTCGATTGTTGAAGTTATAAAGCACTGGAACCTGGGTACAGTCAATGAATGATTTCTGGGAGCTTATGATTCAAATAGCAAAACATTATCTGACCAGTTTTAAGAAATGTGAAAAGGGCCCCCTAATGTGAGCACAAGTTACTATTAGCCACATCACTGATTTTTGTAGATGTTAAATTTTCCTAAGTGCCTAAGATCAATCCTAATGGTCTGTTACGGACTAACGATTCAAACTGATTTAGTCTAAAGAGATAGATCCCTTGCTGCCTATACATGATCAAAGAAGTTTCACTCCTTGCCCTATGATGATCCAACTGAATTGTGAATTAATGAGCAAACAGAGGCCCCAGAGGCACCTGAGTTCCAAGTAGCAGTTCACCTCCACAAGAAAACTGGCTTTCCCTTTTTTGACCTGACCTCTGCTGCCCATTATTCACAGAAAGGGTTGACCCTGCCTTTAGTAACTTCCTTATCTCCCACCAGTCGACAAGAAAGAAACCAATTTGTATGTGTTTTAGAAAGTGCCTTTACTTTTTAAAAAAGTTTTCATTTTGCAAGAAGATTATATTGTGTGGAAAGTAGAATATATCTAATATGAATTTATTTTAAATGAATTGAGAGATGAAAAATGAGAGGCCAGAAAGGGAATGATAAAATGATCTAAGGACTAACCAGCACAATGTTTAATGGTTTTTGTGTACTGTTTAATTGTATCATCATACAGCTAATGTGAATAGTGTAACTTAATTTGTTTGATAAGAAATTGAGTCTGGCTATGATTTGAAGATAAATCTATCAGCTTATTATTCTTGCTTCTCCAATTAAAAACATTGATGCACTTTTAAATGTCATTGAATTGCATGCCAGTGCCTAAAAAAGACAATTATGCACTTAGAAATTTTGCACACAGATGGAAAAATATTAATGACTGAACCAACATTCCTAGTGTTGCTCACATAGATCTGCCATTGATAAAGTTTTGTGTGTTCTTCGGTGAGCAAACTTCCTTTTCTGCCCTTTGTACTCAAGCACAATGTTGTTCTTAGTAAGACTAACTGACAACTCAGTGTTCAGCTCTAGATCACTTTACCATCACCAAACCGGCTAGACGACCTTGTTTAAGTTTTTAAATCCTTGCCACCACTTAACTCATTTGCTAAATAAGTGAGTTGGCCAAAAATGTTTCTAACATTTCTAGCTCTGTCTTTAATTCTCATGATCCAAGTAATCCAAAATTTTAGGTTAAAGGCCTGTATCCTTTACTGACATATTCTTGATCTAACCAGAGAATTCCTAAGTCAGTGTATCTACAAAAATCCTTCGGAGAAAAACATTCATTTCTTAAAGTCCAATAGATTTAATATCTTTGTTTCTCCTTTTCCTTCCTAGTTTTACATATATTGTAGGTTGTCCCTGCCTCTTTTCTCCTAAGGGTTAAATATGTGCAATAGCAACCATAGATTCTGCCACACACAAAATTGTTCATAAATAATTACTTTGGTCCTGCAAAGAACTGGTCAAATGTGAACTCAGCCATGCAGATATCCAAGCCCAAACTGAGGGTGACATGTACACACCATTTAGAGATTTGCCTGAGTAATGATTTGAGCCTATATTCATTATTTAGTTAATTGAGGGCCATCAATAAATCTTGTTGAGTAGATACTAGAAGTCTTAGAGAAAAACAAATATATAGAATGATTGCTTTAGATTTTACATTCTAACCAGAAACTGTGTATAATTGCAACCTAGATTTATTTTATGGTTAGCAAATACATCATCTGTAAATCAAATAGGAATTCTCCCCAAACTTTTGTTTTTCAGGAAAGTAATTTATGGTATAGGCATATTGGCATCTATTTCAATTCAAGCAAAAATAAAACAAGAAAATAGAATATTTCCAAAGTTCTGGGCATCTCAGGGTAATAACAAATGCCAAGACTAGCCACTACACATACATGTTAGTGAAATGAAGAATCTATTAATTTTCTGAGTTTATAGCTATAAAATCTGAACATGTAATTAATTCACACCAAAGGCTGGCAGCTATTCTGTCTATATCAATTCTTTTGATTTATACCCTAAATTCAATTTCAACAGCATTGAAACACATACAGTAGAAAGATATAACCTGTTTGTATGATGAGCCCAATGACCAGATGGACTCAAAGACAAACTTAGTGTATTAATCAGTTAACATTTTACCTGCTGCTGTTTTAAAAACAGAAACAACTCTAAAATCTTTGAGAAATAAAGCAGTAATATTAGTAATAATCTTTGATAGTTATGGTCAAATTATGTGTCACCTGGATAAACCTCAAATACTGAGTATTTTTGCACACATTTAGCAAACCTTAAGGTAGGTTCTTTTTATCATATTATCTAAAACTGAAAAACTATATAGCAAAATTTCCTCTGAAAAATTATTTGTTTTTAAAAAGTCCTGAAAAACATGACATTGAAATGCCAAGCTTCCCTCTGAGTCGTAATAACCTTCCTTCAGGTCTGCTTATAGAACGATATTGCATCTCAAGCTTTGACTCTTTTTCAGTGGCATATATATTTGTCACATGACATTACTGATTTTTACCATTATTTTACAGCATACTATTTTGTGTTCAAAAATACCACACATCACATTAAAATATATATTCCTCATGAAACATCATGTAATACAAATGAAAATTATTATTTAATGACATAACATGCATATATAATTTCAGTATGATCGTGTCTATGTCTATAAAACAAAACTAAAAATATGTAATAATATATTTGTTGAAACTGTGAATGTACTAATTTTTTCTGTAATCTGTCTAAAGTAGTATATGCATTTGTACAGCTGATCTGGGCACTGTGTTTAAAGTACAATCTAACAACTACTTAAATGTCAACTCCTCTACTTGGCTTCATGTGACTACTGAGTCTTCATGTGTGTTATCTGAACAATAAGATTGGCTTTTGCACTTCATTATTCATTGAAACAATTTAAGAGTCTCACGTGGAAACCAAAGCAATCTACACCCTGCCCACTGAGTGATTTTGTCTCTTGCAAAGCCATATTGAAGTCTCTGCCATAGTGCAAGGTTCCATATTTTCTAAGCTACCACTACCTCTGCTTTTTCATTTTCCCTAGAAAATGCCAAGCAAAACTTTCACATTGAGTGGAAAACCAGAAGCGATTGTTACAATATATTCTTGGAGTAATTTTTATAGAGTACATCTTCTAATTCAGCACTTTGCAGATTTTTGCTGTTTTCTGAGTAACCACCTTTTACACTGTTATATTTTATTTAGAAACACTAGCTGATGCGTAAAGTTCAGAATGAGTACATAGTCATCAAATAAAAAAATCACAGAGTACAAGTTTATTTCTTCTAAGTCACTTCACAGTGTTTGCCCAAAGCCATGATAACATGTATGATTACTAAAATACTCAACTCAGTGCCTAGTAAATGTTTACCTGCCTTTCTCATCTTTCCTTTATTTTTTTTCTTACTTGAAATGCAAAAGAGCAAATTTACACGTAGATTGCTAAAACAATTTTCTAGAAGAGAAAATAATCAGGAATACAATTTAATTTCTCTAAAAACCTTAAAAAGAAATCTTTTTCCTTATTTGCTTTAGCCATCAAATACACTATGATGTGGAAAACATCAGCCATTTATCAGAAATAATCTCAGTTTAGTTTTTAAAATTCATTTCTATATTATTGTCATAATGTCATTTCTTTTTCCTTTTTAGCCTTAAAGAATTACAGACTATAGTCATCTGGTTTGTTATCTTGCATTTTGCGTTGTATAACTCTTTGATTATCGCACATTATGGTTCCTGTTTTCCAAGGACTGATTCATCTGTGTCCTTCTATTTTAAATGGACTGTTAAACCTTTGTCAGTACGATGGGAGATTATGCTAACTGCTATGCTTATATTTTCATCTTTACTGCATGCCAAAAACAATGCTTGCCAAATAAAATCTTGGATATCCCAGTATAACATGATTATTATATTTCTACTTATGTCATTATTCAAAAAACCCAGCTCAGTATTTGGCTCAATAAATGTTTATTTCTCTTGTGTATCTTTTGTCTTTTTTTTATTTGAAATGAGTACATGTAGAATAACATATGTGGTTGATGAAATTTAGGTTTTTGCTGCTAGATCTTTAATCAAGAAGTTGCTCTTTTAAGTTCAACCAAAACATCTTTTTTTGTTTATCCTGCCATATGATTAAAGACAAAATTACCTTCTTTTCCCTCATTCCTGTCATACTAAAGGCTGATAAAAATAAAATGAGATAGAACCATGTATATGGGGATCAAATAAGAGAAGCTTGTTTAAATATTGTGAAATAAAGGAAACACCAACCCATCAAAAAAGGTTGAAGCATTTGTTTGAATTCCATCAATATTACTAACATCTTGTCTGACAAGTTCCATCAGGTGAAGTGTAAATGGATACCTTATAACACATCTCATTCTAAAACTCATCTTCTGTTTCTGCTAGTGTCACCGGTTTGTCAAAGCATGTGTGTAAGACAGTGCTTTGCAAATTGCTATCTGCCACCTTCTAATTATTTAATGCCACATCCTACTGAAAAAGTAGCAATTGCTCTCTGATATGAATGTAAGACTTTCAAACTTGGCTTCACGCAAAGAAATACTCTCTCCTGTGCTTCTATTGGAAACTTTCATTTCTGGGTCCTTTAATATTTTCAAGTTGCAAAATTTAGAGTGTCAGTCTCCAGTCACACGGTCTTTAGGATGATTGATGGGTTGTGTAAATAACACCTAGTTTTTAAGAAGTATTGTACTTTTTTCCTGAAAGAAACCAGAAATTATATATTCCAACATTTTACCAGAATCCCTCTGAAATCTTAACCCAGTCAAGACTGCTACCTTCATCTTACTGAGCTTTATATATCCTGAACCTACCTCATTTTTAAGGGATTAGAGCTCCAGCTTCCACGTTGGCATTGAAGGAGAAGAATAAGAATATGGAAAAGTCAAGAACTATGATCTGAAAAGCCTCCAACAGAGTCCTAGATATTCCTAGAAATTTCAACTGGCTTTGTATTCCTTTAACCTCAGCAGGGGAAACTGAACCTGTTGTTGATATAAATATATTTCACGTTAGCTGTCATGATACCTATAATCAGGATTCTTTTATCTATATAACCCCATCCACCCACTCCTCAGGACCCACCAGAGTTGCCACTGCCCATACAAATGTTAAGCATCTCTCTTGTTATGATTAGGTTCACATTAAAACATGATTTGAAGCTGACCGGAAGTCAAATTGACTTGAAGCACAGATGTTTTTATAATTGTGGTAAAGTATTTTTTAATGAAAAAATTAGAGGATGTCAGTCAAATAAAACATCATGTGAGTTTTGGATAACAAACACTGGTACAATAAAAAGTAACTCAGAAAGTTTATTACTAGATTTATAAAAGTATTTAAAGGAATTTGTAAATGACAAAGTTACATTTTAAGATGATACATCTGTTACTTGTAAAATTATTTAAAATTACAAGATAAATTTAAATGGTGTTTACCAATAGTTTTATTTTACATGGACAATACTGACATGGTTGCTGAACTATGTAACTTTGTAATGCATTATTTGATCACTTTTCAGAACAAATTCTTTTGCAATGGTAAAAATGCTTAGTTTAAATCAACTTAATAAAATATTTCCTGAGCAATGGTGTGTGTGTGTGTGTGTGTGTGTGTGTGTGTGTTTGTGTGTGTGTTTATAAATGAAACTCAAGACAAGCTTTTTCCTTTCCTCAACCGACATGATTTGGAATATATTTTTTAGGAAAACAGAAAATGGCATTCTAACTCTCTCCAGAAAGATACAGACATGTGATAAAACTTTTTCAGGCAGTCTCCTGAGGCATTTTTTCAGACACAAATATTTGTATCCAACTTTCAGCCCTGTCTCTAATTTCATCTTCCTGCTGAGTCTAAAACAAAATTGAATCTTCCTTGCAACCTAGCTAAGCTCTACATCTTCTCTTTCCATTGCCTCTTGTTCCCCGGGGCTTTATTCCTTTGCCAGACTAGAGCCCTGGAAATGCGTGCTGGGGACACTCAGACGTGTTTTGGATCTTCTTCTAGAAACAAATAAGAAAAATCAAAAGGAATTTCCAAATCTGTGATACAATCAACTTTTTCAAATAAAGATGAAACCGCAAATCTGATTACCAAAAACTGACATTTTCTTTTATTCAGTTTTTCCCAGCCAGAATCACCTTATATTGTCACTTGAACGCCATCTGTGACTTCGTCATCCTTTTGTGGTCTTTCATTTGTTGCACAAATACTTGAAAATCACATTTAAAAAGCTATTTAGAAACATCAAACTTCATAAATTATATTTTGCCTTACCTTTCTCAACACTTTTAAACACATGAAACACCACAAGTATTGTAATATATGTCTACTATATCCTTCTTGGCTATTTTTGATTGCATGCATCTGTAAGTAATATAGTTATTTTGTGGTTATGAATTTCTGTAAGCATATGTATGTTTACTTTTCATTAAGCTCCCTATATGAGCTTTTTATTTCTACTATTTTAATTGACCTTAAAATGGGCATTTCTATGCCAGTCTCATTTTGGAGGGTTTCTTCTAGATACAAACCTAAAGACAGAATTATTGCGTGACATAAAAATCATATTTTGGCATTTCTTAAATATTAACAATTTGCTCTCTCTGCGAGGTCATTGTGAAAGCGACAGCCCCAACATCAGTTTAGGAGCTTCCATCTGTCCCTGACTTTGTCATTACCTGGTGCTGTCAGAGGATTTCATATTTGCTATTTTAGGAGTATGAACTGATACATTGTTATTTTAATTTTAAATTTTCCCTATTAATCCACCTTATATTTGAATAACTCATAATTTATCTGCTTGTCTTCTATGGCATCTTTGTCATCTGCTGAATTTCTACATGTGCCCATGTCTTAATCTGAGTCTCCACTTTGGTATGTTTTTCTGTCTATCCCTGTGCTGCTTTTTCATTGATTTCTTGCCTTATCTTATACAAAATCTAGCTATCCAATAAATTATTTTCTACCACACCACACCCTACTCAAAATTATTCTAGCTATTCTTAGTCATTTTTTCATCATACGAATTTTGCAAGTTTCCCGAAAACTTTTGTTGATCACTAGATTATGAGTTAAGTTTATGTATTAATTCCAAGAGACATTGCACCCTTCTGTGTCTTCCTAATCATAAACATGAGCTGTCATTTCACCTACACTGATCACTAACACTTTAAGCTATTTTTTCATATCGCTCATTTTTGTTATACTAGATTCATTGTTAGGCGCTATATAATTTTTTGTTGCTATTACAAATGGCATCTTTTAAAAATTATTTTATTCTAAAGTAGTTGGCATGTTAAAATAGCCACTAATTTTTAATGCATTCTTGCCTACTACAACTTTACTGAAATTAATAATGCAATCTCCTCTTTTAAAGTCCTAATACCTATTATTTATTCCTTGATCTATTTCTTTGGATGGGGCTTCAGCACAGTACGAAATAAAAGCAGAGTAATGGGCAATCTTTCTTACTCCTGACATTAAAAATAATGCTACTGAAAGGTCACTATTAAGTACAATGCATCACGTAAGTATTTACACATCACCATACTTATGTTAAGGAAATTTATATGTATTCAATTTTATTAATAAATATTTCTCATAAATTGGTGTTAAAGTTTTCATATACTTCTTATTTATATTTCTTCCTCTGACGTGTCTGTTCACTTCTATTGCTCATTTCTTGACTGGATCTTTAATTTTAGGTGGTCTAAGTTTTTTTTATTTTTTCTATATTCTAGATATTAATCTTCTGTCTGAGGAGTAGCTGGAGAAATTTTTTCCCATTGCAAAGACTGTCTTTTCGCTCTACTGGTTCTTTTGCTGCAGGAAAGCATTTAAGTCTGATATAATCCCATTTGTTGATTCTTGTTACTATTTCTTGTCTAAGGTTCTGCTTAGAATGTCCTTTCCTACACCTGTCTTCAAGTTTTTACCTACTTTATCTTCTACTAAGGTTAACGTTTCTCTATTAATGTTTAGATCTTTAATCCACTTGAGCTAAGTATATGTGAGAGATGTGGGTCCCATCTCAATTTCCTGCAAAGAGATAACCAAATTTCCCAGCACCACTTCTTAGATAAGCTATCTTTCCTCTAATGTATGCTTTGGCGTCTTTGTCAAAAACCAAATAATTTGATGTGTCTGGGAAGGTTTCTTTTTCCTCAGTTCTGGTTCATAGATTCCCACATCTGTTTTTGTTCCAGTACCATGCTGTTTTTATCACTATCACTTAGTGCTATAGCTTGAAATCAAGTATAGCTATGCCTTCCACTTCACTCTTGTTGCCTAAAATTGCTTTTACTATTCTTGGTCTCTTCTAGTTCCATATAAATTTTAGGATTCTTTTCTCTAGTTCTGTAAAGTATGTTGTTGTATTTGGATTGGGACTGCACTGAATCTGTGTAATGGTTCTAGGAATGACAATGCTGATTCTTCCTATATGGGAGCAGAGGACATCTTTCAGTTTTCTGATGTTCTTTTCAAACTTCTTCTTCAGAGTACTGTAGTTATGTTAGTATAGTCTTTCATCTCCTTTTTAGGTCAATTCATAGATATTTCATTTTTCTTGAAACTACTATGAAAGGTATCATTTTCATAATTTCTTTTCCATTGAGTTTATTATTGGTGCACACAAAAGCTAATTATTTTTGAGTGTTGGTTTTGTATCCTGCTACACTCCCAAAGTTGCCTATTAATTCTAAGAGGTCTTTGGTGGAGTTCTTTGAGTTTTTGTGGGGAGTATCAGGTCATCTGGAAATAATAATTCGAGTTCTTCCTTTCCTATATTTACTCCTTTTATTTCTTTCTCTTGCCTAATTGCTCTGGCTAATGTTTCAAGTACTATGTTGAATAGAAGATGTGATAGTGGAACCCTTGTCTTGTTCCTGATTTTAGAATGAATACTTCAGTTTTTCTCTATTTAGTATGATGCTGTGATAAATAGTCTTCATCATATTC